GGCGCCTCTACGCAAGCGCTGCAGGTCCCATCGAGTCCCATACGGTCCCATCGACGCTAGTGCTTCTACCGCTACATTTATGAAGTGCAATTGGTACGAAGCGTTGCTATATGGATGTGTGTATATACAGCTATATCTATCAAAGCAGTTGTTGGCGCAATGCCAACGGAAAACTCGTCCGAAAATGCTTGTCAGATGCCATGCAGAGCAAGGTTTTCCACAGATTCTTGACCGATTATCTTCGCTTTTTCATAATTTTTCCTTTTTATATGGCAGCAAGAAAAGGTTTACTTATAGTGTCACAGAACTTTTCGCCCGAACTGATAATAATAAAAAAGGACATCAATCTAGCAACACTTACTTAGAAGGTTGCAGCCACTGCCCTATCTTATGACTAAAAGCCCGAGAAGAAAAGTATAAAATACAGAAATCGTAAGAAGGACCGCAATGTTCTTTCTAGTTCGATAGGTGTACGTACGTGTATTCCTTCATATCAGATGTAATATCCCAGATAAGTGGCATAAATATAGAAACAAAAGCATATTTCTCATCAAGAACAGATGTACACACAGCAATATATTCTGCTCACCACTAGGCACCATTCACCCCTCAGTGCCTTCAACACGAGAGACCCGATTTCCCTCGAAATTTGTCCACTGGTATTTTCAAGAAATTTGGGCACTATTCAACTATTACTACCCCAGATTTCCGGAAACGGGCCGGATTTTGATCGACTTTTTTTCTACGGGGGTGGATTTGGCTGAAAGTTGGGTTCTAGGGGTAATTCGACCTCCTGAACACGAATATCACATCCGCTCCTCCCGAAACCGCCTGGCGCCCGCGCCACAGGCGCCGGCGCCAAAGTACCCTAGATCACGAAATCCGCTGAAAACTTGTACCTAGGGGTAGTTTGACCTCCTAATCACGAATATCACATTCCCTCGGCTTGAAACCGCTCCGCGTCCGCGCTACGGGCGCCGGCGCCAAAATGCCCCAAATCACTGGCGCCTATGGCGCGGGCGCCAGGCAATTTCAGGCCAAGTGGATGTGATATTCGTGTTCAGGAGGTCGAATTACCCCTAGAACCCAAATTTCAGCCAAATCGCCCCCGTAGAAAAAAGTCGATCAAGATCCGGCCTGTTTTCGCAAAACTGGGGTAGTAATAGTTGAATAGTGCCGAAATTTGTCCTCGCACTCGCTCTCCTCTTATCCTAAGCATAGACACCACAGCTCTTTAGCGTTGAAACTCCTCTGACCGCGCCTAAGAAGCCAAATTTTTAAGGAAGCACCAGACAAACTGCCCTAGTAGAAGCAATGGTGATGTTTGGTCGCGATATACGGCCTGTTTTACTTGGACAAACTTCCAGTGAATTTGGTGATATAAAGTGTCTGAGATATGCTTGCGGTATGAAGTCCAGGCAGGACACGTTTTGCCGCTACCCAAACTTTCTTGCAAAACAAAATAATTAAACAGCAGATGTTGCAGATACGACCCCCCCCGGAATTTTCAGCCCCGGTACGATCCCTATCCCCGACCTACCTATCCTATCCTTAAAAAATCACAGCTTCTCAATCCTCCCTTTTATATATTTTTTTATTCTTTTATATACCATTTTCACTTTAAATCGGACACTTTTCAAACCAAATCGGACACTTTTCAAACCAAATCGGACACTTTTCAAACCAAATCGGACACTTTTCAAACCAAATCGGACACTTTTCAAACCAAATCGGACACTTTTCAAACCAAATCGGACACTTTTCAAACCAAATCGGACACTTTTCAAACCAAATCGGACACTTTTCAAACCAAATCGGACACTTTTCAAATCAAATCGGACACACCCCTTACAATTAGGTGGTTGATAACTAGACCACACTAGGTACTGTTGCAAGCCCCGCCCCATTATCCCCGCCCACTTCTCAGCGCGGACAGGGTTTTCCGAGATGCTTCATGAAATCTGCTCCCTCGACTTTTTTTCGTTTTTGCCCTTTGCACACACACTTCAACTGAAAAAGATTGATACCTATACAGATCTGACTCCGCCCACTTAACAATGAAGTTACGTAAGTTCTGAATTTTTATAACTTTTTCGACGTAGTTCTTTTCACATCCAATCTTCACAAAACGAATAACCATGCACAGCACACCAGGCCCCGCCCCTCTGACCCCGCCCACTTGTGTTTATCGCGGAATTTTGGTTTTTCTTCCGGATTTTCGCTTTTTTAGGCTTTAGCGATTGGCTCCACCCACCAATGGAAGCTCCGCCCAATTGGGAAAGCCCCGCCCA